CTCCCTCAGCACTGACCCTCCGACAGTGCCCACTCCCTCAGCACTGACCCTCCGACAGTGCGGCGCTCCCTCAGCACTGACCCTCCGACAGTGCCCACTCCCTCAGAGCTGACCCTCTGACAGTGCCCACTCCCTCAGCGCTGACCCTCCAGGGAATGAACGAGGAGCAAGAACGGCTGTTCGGCCCCTCGAGTCTGCTTGACCATCCTATCAATGCTGCCTTAAAAATATTCCAGATATCTGCCACCATTAAAAATCAGGGGAAGGGAGGGAGGGTGTTGGGGAGCCAAAAAAACATGGGAATCTCAGAGGAAGAGACAACATTGTGATCAAAATCCGAAAGACTAAGATAAGAGGATAATTTTCTGAAGAAGGGTCTAGACCCGAAACATCAGCTTTCCTGCTCCTCTGATGCTGCTTGGCCTGCTGTGTTCATCCAGCCCTGCACCTTGTTGTCCGGGAAAGGTGGTGTCAGTCTGTAGCTCAGGGCCATCAGAGCGAGAGGGGTTAACAGGATTTCATCGAGAGACACCGAGAATCCCGAAACTGACTGTTTGGCTAGTTGTATCGCACTTGGCAAAGACACTGCTCGGTGTAATATTTAACACATTTATCAGTCTCATGTTCCCGTTTGTGTTTTGTACCATTTTATATCATTAGCTTCAGTTGTTGCCAAGCTTCCTTCTTTCTTAACTCCAGAGTTTTTCACGACATCGATCAGATGGAACCTTTCATTTCAGTCCTTGCCCCCCAAGCCAGTACGAGAGATGGGGGCGGGTGGGGGGTTGCATGTGGTGAGGGTCAATGGAGAAGGGGTCTCAATGATTTGGAGTGTGGGGGTGGGGGGTGGTTTCTCGCCGTAACAAGGTGGGAGTCTCTCTCCTAGGCACTGCGACGAGCACTGCATTCATGCAGCACCTCCCATCAGAACTTTTCTACGGGCCATTCGGCCCATCGGGACTCTCACCGCTCCCCCCCCACACCACCCAACAGAGGGGGCCCAGGGAGGCCGGGTGACTGAGGGATGAGGGAGCGGAGGAGTTAGGGAGACAGGGCAGGGAAGTGGGGTTCAAGGTCTGAGGGGGTTAGCCATGGTCTTATCCAGTGGGTGGAGCAGGGTTGAGGGGCTGAAGGGTCTACTCTCCAGCTTCTTTTATCTCACGCACATCATGTCCTCAAACACCTCCTCTTGTGAGCCCTGACCCCAACGCACTCATAGAAAAAAGAAAGGAGGAGGCCATTCGGCCCTTCAAGCTTACTCTGTCATTCAATGCTATCATGGCTGATTGTCCAACTTGGACCCCTGTATCCAACTCCTTGTAAAGTCACAGAGCTGTACAGCACAGAAACAGACCCTTCAGCCCAACTCGTCCATGCTGACCCAGATATCCTAAATTAATCTAGTCCCATTTCCCAGCATTTGGCCCATATCCCTCTAAATCCTTCCTATCCATGTACCCATCCAGATGCCTTTTAAATGTTGTAATTGTACCAGCCTCCACCACTTCCTCTGGCAGCTCATTCCATATACACACCACCCTCTGTGTTACCTCTTAGGTCCCTTTTATATCTTTCCCCTCTCACCTTAAACCTAAAGCCCTCTAGTTTTGGACTCCCCTTCCCTGGGGAAAAGACCTTGGCTATTCACCCCATCCATGCCCCTCATGATTGTATAAACCTCTATAAGGTCACCCCTCAGCCTCCGACACTCCAGGGAAAACAGCCCCAGCCTCTCCCTGTAGCTCAAACCCTCCAACCTTGGCAACATTCCTATAAATTTTTTCAAGTTTCACAACATCCTTCCTATAGCAGGGAGACCAGAATAGAACACAGTATTCCAATAGTGGTCTAACCAATGTCCTGTACAGCTGCAACATGACCCTCCCAACTCCCACTGACCAATAACGGCAAGTGTACCAAACACCTTCTTCACCGCCCTGCCTACCTGCAACTCCACTTTCAAGGAACTATGAACCTGCCCCCCAAGGTCTCTTTGTTCAGCAACACTCCCCAGGACCTTACCATTAAGTGTGTAAGTCCTGCCCTGATTTCCCTTTCCAAAATGCAGCACCTCACATTTATCTAAATTAAACTCCATCTGCCACCCCTCGGCCCATCGGCCCATCTGATCAAGATCCTGTTGTACTCTGAGGTAACCTCCTTCCCTGTCCCCTACACCTCCAATTTTGGTGTCATCTGCAAACTTACTAACCATCCCTCCTACGTTCGCATCCAAATCATTTATATAAATGACAAATTGCAGTGGGACCCAGCACAGATCCTTGTGGCACACCGCTGGTGACAGGCCTCCAGTCGGAAAAGCAACCCTCCACCACCACCCTCTGTCTCCTACCTTCGAGCCAATTTTGTATCCCATTGGCTAGCTCTCCCTGGATCCCGTGTGATCTAACCTCGTTAACTAGCCTGCCATGCAGAACCTTGTTGAACACCTCGCTGAAGTCCATATAGACAATAAAAACCGAAAGGACTGCAGATGCTGTAAATCAGGAACAAGACCAGAAGTTGCTGGGAAAGCTCAGCAGGTCTGGCAGCATGTGTGAAGAAGAAAAGAAATCAGGGTTAACGTTTTGGGTGCTGTTCTGAGGAAGGGTCACCGGACCCGAAGCGTTAACTCTGATTATTTCTTCACAGATGGGGGTGCCAGACCTGCTGAGCTTTTCCAGCAACTTCTGTTTCTGTTCCACGTAGACAATGTCCACTGCTCTGTCTTCATCAATCGTCTTTGTTATTCCTCAAAAAACTCAATTAAGTTAGTGAGGCACGATTTCCCAGGCACAAGGCTGTGCTGACTACCCCTCATCAGTCCTCACCTTTCCGAATTAAATGTAAATCCTGTCCCTCAGGATTCCCTCTAACAACTTGCCCACCACCGAAGTCAGGCTCACCGCTCTATAGCTCCCTGGCTTTTCCTTACAACCTTTCTTAAATAGAAGCACCAAGCTAGACAACCTCCAGTCTCCTGGCACCTCACCTGCGGCTATCAATTATACAAATCCCTCCTTCTTGAAAACATTCAATATTTTGGCCTCAAACGCTTTCTGTGGCAGAGAATTCCTCAGGCTCCCACACTCTCTGGGTGAGGACATATCTCCTCATCTCAGTCCTAACCCATCTCCTATCGACCGTGACCACTCCCCTGGTTCTGGACTCTCCTCCTGGTCATTGGGAACATCCTTCCTGCGTTTACCCTGCCTAGCCCTGGTAGAATTTTATCGGTTTGTATGAGACACACCCCCCCCGACATCCCACTCCTCCTCCGTTTATCTATAAGCACCCCACCAGCCTCCCTCTTAGTTCTGGACTCCCCAGTCATATAGACCCTTCCAAATCTGCACAGCTCTGTGAGAAACTACAGAGAGGTGTGAACACATCCCAGTCCATCACACAAACCGACCTCCCATCCACTGACTCCACCTCTACCTCCTGGTGTCTCGGGAAAACAGCCAACATCATTGAAGAGCCCCCCCACCCCGGTTATAATCTCCTTCAACCTCTTTGATCAGATGGAGGATACAAAAGCACGCACCTACAGGTTCGTGAACAGTTCCCTCCCCGCTGTCATCGAACTCACTGAGCAGAACCTCTCGAATTTTAAACTTAACACCTCTTTCTCTGCGGCCGTGCCATTGTACACCCCGCTCCATCCTCACACCCTTAACTTTGCGCGGTCCCATCGGCAGCGCAAAACAAAACTTTGCACTGTACCTGGGCACATGCGACAGGAATAAATCAACTCACCTGAGCACTTCTCTCGCATCCACCACTCCCCAACACACACACGCACACACACACACTCACACAAATTTTACACACACTCACGCACACTCAGACACACACACACACTCAGACACACACACTCAGGCACACACACACTCTCACACACATACACACACACTCAGGTACACACACAAACACTCACACAAGCACACACACACATACACACACACACACACAAACACACACACACATATACACACAAACACACACACA